ATTATGTGAGAAATCTTTAAAGAATTCTGATAAAGAAAGAGATCTAGGGGTGGTTCTAGATAGAAAACTCACCTGAGGACCACATTAAGAACATTGTGCGAGGAGCCTATGCTACACTTTCTAACTTCAGAATTGCTTTTACATATATGGATGGAGAAATACTAAAGAAATTGTTCACGACTTTTGTTAGGCCAAAGCTGGAATATGCAGCGGTTGTATGGTGCCCATATCTTAAGAAGCACATCAACAAACTGGAAAAGGTGCAAAGAAATGCACCAAGTGGCTCCCAGAACTGAAGGGCAAGAGCTACGAGGAGAGGTTAGAGGCATTAAATATGCAAAAACTAGAAGAGAGAAGAAAAAGAGGCGATATGATCACTACGTACAAAATAGTAACAGGAATCGATAAAATAGGGAAGAAAACCTGAGATCTGGAACTTCAAGAACAAGAGGTCATAGATTTAAACTAACGATACAAAGCCACCGGAGAAACATCAGAAAATTCACTTTTGTAAACAGAGTGGGAGACGGTTGGAACAAGTTAGGTGAGAAGGTGGTGGAGGCCAAAATCGTCAGTAATTTCAAAGTGTTATATGACAAAAAGTGCTGAGGAGACGGGACACCGCGAGCGTAGCTCTCATCCTGTAACTACAATTAGGTAATTACAAACCCGTACAAGCACAAGACGAAGTTGGAAAAAGTTCAGAGGTATGCCACTATGCTAGTCCCAGAATTAAGAGGCATGAGTTACGAGGAAAGGCTGCCTGAACTGAACCTCACGTCGCTGGAAAACAGAAGAGCTCGGGAAAACATGATCACCACATACAAAATTCTCAGGGGAATTGACAGGGTAGATATATAAGGATGGATTATTTAACGCGGGTGTTACACGCACAAGAGGACACAGGTGGAAGCTGAGTACCCAAATGAGCCACAGAGACATTAGAAAGAACCATTTCAGTGTCAGAGTAGTTAATAAATGGAATGCACTAGGAAGTAATGTGGTGGAGGATGACTCCATACACCGACCCATCCTCCGAATACAATAGCGTTGCTTCTGATGTCACTTTTGTTCATTAATATTACATATTCGGCGTTTATCTTTAATACATAAAGGTGGTAATACACTCGTCCGGCGCTTCCCAAGCCCTTTGGCCCAGGTTCGTATTCTGGCCGGGGAGGATTGACTGGGCGCCAATCCTAAACTCTAGCCTCTGTTCACCAGCAGTAAATGGGTACCTAGTTGTTAAACGATATGGCGGGTTGTATTCCGGGGACAATTAGGATTAAAAAGCTGCCCGGAAAGCTATGCATGCTAGTGGCTTTACAAGAATGTAAACACTCTTGTATATACATATAAAAATAAATTGTTACGAGATCCAGAGACACTTTAAAATGTTACACGACCAAAGATCATATTCGCTCCAAAAATCTACCACCTACGGGCTATTCATGCCCGTGCCACCTCTTGTGATGACTTAATCTTCAACAACAACAACATATTGTTAAATTTAAGTATAACTATCGTATAATATAATAGTTTACCTCAAAACCGGCCACAGTCTAGTATTTTGCGAGTACGATCATGTTTGTGGACATTGGGATGTACTCACCTAGTTGTGCTTGTTTTGAGCTTTGGCTCTTTGGTCCCGCCCCTCAACTGTCAGTCAACTGTTGTACAGATTCCTGAGCCTACTGGGCTCTATAGTTTTCTTAGTTGGCGGCCGTTGGTCTTACGAAAGCAGGATTATGTCTGTCACATTACTGAACTTCACTTAATAACTATATGCCTGCTAAGTAGAAAATGTTAGCAGTTTATAGCATTGTTTTAATGGTGACTAATAATTTGTATACTGAAAGTACAAATTTTGTGCGCGAAATGGTAAAAAAAAATGTGTGCCATCTGTCTTTTGTGCTAACTGACTTGTATTAGTGTCAGCATAGGTTATCCAGATTCCAGCCACTCGGCGGTGGCTGGCGAGGGAACTGATGGGGACGGGTTTGTCCAGTGATGCATAATGGAAGCTCGAGGCCATTGATTGACCGGTCAGTGCCTGTCGTACACGATAAATAACAGCAGGGGTGTAGCCATTGTTCTTCGAGGAGAAATATTTCAGAAGAAATTTGATTAAAAATAAATATTTGTAGCACACTCTCCTCCACGCCTCACTAGCCATTTTGTTTGAGTTCGAGCCATGGTCAGGGAGGATTGACTGGGCACAAATCCTCAACTGTTCGCCCATGTTCACCCAGCAGTAATTGTGGAGCCTGGTTCTAGACAGGCTGGTGTTCAAGGAAAAAGTAGTAGGGTAAAGCTTAAGATGAGCTATGGTAAGAGAAAGCTCTCCGTGAAGAAATATTGAGGTTTGTAAGAGTAGTGTGGGGTACTCATCTAAGTTATAGTCTACTTTTAAGGTTATGAATGCATTCAGCCTTGACCATCTTTTCTTAACTTATTCCATTTTCTCACTCCACTTAGGTTAAATAAATATTTCCTTACATCGCAATGGCTTATATAAGTCTTATTTTCATTTTTTTATCTTTCATTCTGGTGTTGTTTGTAATTACCTAAAATTGATCTGTATCTATTATCTGAGTGTCCATAATCCTAAAGATGTTGTATGTTGTGATTATGTCTCATTTCCCATATCAAATAGAGCAAGTACTTACAGTCTTTTGGCGTAACTTTCTAAAGTTAGGCCACTTTGGATCTTGTGTATTTTTATGCGAGGCTCTGTGTTAGTTATATAGATAGTGTACTGTATAATGCCCTGAATGCCTTCTTTAAGTTCTGGAAAGCTACTCAGATATTTTCCAGTTTTGCATTTGTCTTCTATTTCCATTGAAATGAGCCACTGGAGATAGGCATGACATTGTCTACTCCTAGGTTCTTTTCAGTTTCCATATCTGAGGGGTCACTAATATCATACAATAACCTTGTGATCTTGCTTCGATCCCCCAACACTCATTTTCTTACATTCATATGGTTGATGTCGAACAGCAATCATTCAGACCCATCCCCCCTTCCCCCACAGTTTTTCCAGGCCATAGCTCTGCATCATCTATGAGCAGTGTCAGAGACTTTCAGGCAGCCCATTTATTTTATTTTCAAGTAATCTAACACAAGTCAGCTATTAGAACAATAAAAAACTCTGACCCCAGACAGCACTTGGCTCCCCTTATTTAAATATTTAAATATGTTAGATATTTCGTTACTGCACAGCCTTTCAAGTGTACTATAATATACTGTACTGTGTATATATGTATATGTGTGTGTAATATATATATATATATATATATATATATATATATATATATATATATATATATATATATATATATATATATATATATATATATATATATATGTATGTATGTATGTATGTATATATGTACTCACCTAGTTGTGTTTGCGAGGGTTGAGCTCTGGCTCTTTGGTCCCGCCTCTCAACCGTCAATCAACAGGTGTACAGATTCCTGAGCCTATCGGGCTCTGTCATATCTACACTTGAAACTGTGTATGGAGTCAGCCTCCACCACATCACTTCCTAATGCATTCCATTTGTCAACATATGTATGTGTGTGTGTGTGTGTATATATATACAGTATATATATATATATATATATATATATATATATATATATATATATATATATACATACATACACACACACACACACACACACACACACACACACACACACACACACACACACACACACACACACACACACACACACACACAGTTTCTATGATCGAGCCACAGAGATATTACAGGAAAGAGATGGTTGGGTTGACTGCATCTTTCTGGACCTAAAAAAAGCTTTCGACAGAGTTCCACATAAGAGGTTGTTCTGGAAACTGGAAAATATTGGAGGGGTGACAGGTAAGCTTCTAACATGGATGAAAAATTTTCTGACTGATAGAAAAATGAGGGCAGTAATCAGAGGCAATGTATCGGAATGGAGAAATGTCACAAGTGGAGTACCATAGGGTTCAGTTCTTGCACCAGAGATGTTTATTGTCTACATAAATAATCTACCAGTTGGTGTACAGAATTATATGAACATGTTTGCTGATGATGCTAAGATAATAGGAAGGATAAGAAATTTAGATGATTGTCATGCCCTTCAAGAAGACCTGGACAAAATAAGTATATGGAGCACCACTTGGCAAACGGAATTCAATGTTAATAAATGTCATGTTATGGAATGTGGAATAGGAGAACATAGACCCCACACAACCTATATATTATGTGAGAAATCTTTAAAGACTTCTGATAAAGAAAGAGATCTAGGGGTGGTTCTAGATAGAAAACTATCACCTGAGGACCACATAAAGAATATTGTGCAAGGAGCCTATGCTATGCTTTCTAACTTCAGAATTGCTTTTAAATACATGGATGGCGATATACTAAAGAAATTGTTCATGACTTTTGTTAGGCCAAAGCTAGAATATGCAGCTGTTGTGTAGTGCCCATATCTTAAGAAGCACATCAACAAACTGGAAAAGGTGCAAAGACATGCTACTAAGTGGCTCCCAGAACTGAAGGGCAAGAGCTACGAGGAGAGGTTAGAAGCATTAAATATGCCAAAACTAGAAGACAGAAGAAAAAGAGGTGATATGATCACTACGTACAAAATAGTAACAGGAATTGATAAAATCGACAGGGAAGATTTCCTGAGACCTGGAACTTCAAGAACAAGAGGTCATAGATTTAAACTAGCTAAACACAGATGCCGAAGAAATATAAGAAAATTCACCTTCGCAAATAGAGTGGTAGACGGTTGGAACAATTTAAGTGAGAAGATGGTGGAGGCCAAGACCGTCAGTAGTTTCAAAGCGTTATATGACAAAGAGTACTGGGAAGACGGGACACCACGAGCGTAGCTCTCATCCTGTAACTACACTTAGGTAATTACACTTAGGTAATTACACACTCACACATATGTAACCAAAGCAGACTTGAATGGCTGTTCACTCCAACTCATCTCTTGCAGATTGTATATGACTTCTGTTTGCGGACGTCGACTATGAAACTGAGGCGAGTATGGGGACGGTACCGCGAGAGGATACTTGTGACAGTCCTGATAGCCCTTGTTGTCATCATAATGGCTCCTCCCAAACGCCTACATGACATGGTGAAAAGAGAGGTGAGGGTGGTGGTGGTGGGGGTGGTGGTATCTAACAGGAAAAGGCTGCAGAGTCTGACATGAATATAGAGTTCCCTAACATAAATATGCAGTTACAGTACTGCCAAAACGAATATGTAGTTACTGCTGACATGAATATACTGTACTGTACTGTAGTATACATATAGTGCTGTCATGAATATACAGGTACTGCTTATATGAATATACTGTACTGTACTGTATTGTAGTATACATATAGTGTTGACATGAATATGCATGTAGGGCTGGCATGAATATAGAGTTCCAACATGCTTGGATAAGGTAAAAACAACATTAGGTTAATAATTTATATTTTAATGTACCCCCAATATTTAACCTTTAATGGCAGGATGGCAGTGTGTTGGTGATAGATGGGGTAAGAAAGAGGGACTACAATGACTATAAATACCTGAAGGACGAAGTTCTACAAACTGGCCCAGGTTTGAACTGATTCAGTTATTTGGTTTTTACTCAATTTTTACTTATTTTGAGTTTGGATGTAGGAGTTATTTTCACACACATTTTGTGTAAATATAATTATTTCAGCTATCATCTGAGCAAATGTAATCCTTAAAGTGCTGCATTAATGCATATAGCTAGATCCTGCCCTATATGGAAAACAAAAAGTTGATTATAATGAAACACCATTTTCTATGTGGGGTCCCCGGAGGCTCCCTGAAGCTATGTGAACTGATATGTGCTATATTAGTTTGGGGTCATCAGTCACAGGAGTCCTTATGCCTACCAGGAACCACGAGCCAGAACCTGGCCCCCTCAGAGAGGCGCAGGGAGCAATAAATTGTGAACACTTTAAATATTAAATATTCATAATTGCCATTGACTGGAAAAGAACCCAGTAAAGTAGGTGAATCAAAACAGACCACTGTTTGGTTAACCAGTGCAATCTATGTCCTAAAAGATCAAAATAACTCTCCTAGAAAGAAATCAAACAAGAAACCCTTTGTGCAACTAGCACTCCCACTCGTTAGCGCTAAGCCCCACCCCTGAAGGAGGAGAGGGTAAGCTGGCTCACTGGAGTCTGCAGCCCACCACCCTCGTTCTTGAATGATGAAAACCTGTCAACCAGAGGAAGGAAGGGAATCAGGGAGCCTCCGGAGCATACCCAGAAAATGTCCTTTCATTACATTTAACGATGGTTGTCTTTGGGGAGCCCCGTCGGCTCCCTGAAGCTAACTACCCAAATACAGTATAAGGAAAAACAGGGTTCTGCCCGGGAGGCGGCAGCACCGCAGGTCTCAAGACGAGGAAGAGATAGACGGTCGTAACAGGCAGCCCAAGGCCACACAAGGCCGTGAAGGAACTGGAATGGCCACGAATTACCTGGCTGCCAGGACCCTGTGCAACCTCCAAAACCCCCACGCCCGAATATCGATCCAAAACTGACGCGACAGCAGCATAGTTGCAAACATCATGGGCACCAGGGTAATCCACAGGATGGCTAGTCTGAATGACACTGTGGACAATTTGAGACACACGAGCCCCTGGAGCAGGGAACCAAGGAAACCAGTTCCACCCAGAGAGCGTCCACCGTTACAGAACCAGTGACACACAGATAGCGGCATAAAGCTGCCAACAGACAAAACACTTGATGCACCCACAGCCTCAGCAACTAAGCATCCACAACCAACAGACCCCTCTGGAAGCCTGTCATCTTATTCTGCACCAGAAAAGAAGTAGAAGGCTGCTAACAAACAAAACGACCACCCAGACCAAACAAACAGAACCCCCTAGCAGCTGAGAGGAGCATTTTTTTATTGTTGCCGCCAGAGGAGGCTAGTTTATTGTGCAACTCATACTCATCCTGTGAGCGGTAGCACAAAAAGGATTATAAAGAGCACAAAAGGTCGTTATCAGCCCTCAACGGAGATTATTACATTAGCAAATTCATCTATCCTTCACACCTTAATAATGACAGTGTCAACTGGTTTCTGAGAATGTTCTGTTTCAAGAGCTATATATTTACAGTAAATCATTATACATTAATGGTAGGTCTTATTGCTAATCCATAATTGTTTGAACAGTGGAGATATTACAGATTCATAGCAGAGCTGCTGTTTATTATTAGACTTCACAATACAGTACAGGAGTACCTTGATTTAAGAGTTTAATCCGTTCCTGGAGACAGCTCGTAATCCGAAAACTTGTAAACCGAAGCTAATTTCCCCATAAGAAATAATGGGAAATGAATTAATCCGTTCCTGACTACCCAAAAACCTCACTTCAAACTAAATTTTATACCTAATTCATCCAAATCTACACTACAAAAGTATGTTCAAGTTATTACTTATCCTTGCTGATGACTTCTGTTGACGTATAGAAGATGGTGAGGAGAGATCCTCCTACGGGCACCCGTACATCCGGCAAAGCCAAAGGATAAAGGCGGCATCGACCAGCCACTCCGTGGAAAAAAAGAATGAAACAAGATAGGCCATCTGCCAGGACAGCTGATGTCCTGGGGCCTGATAGCAGAGTGGACAGCGCTTCGGATTCGTAGTCCTGAGGTTCCGGGTTCGATCCCCGGTGGAGGCGGAAACAAATAGGCAGAGTTTCTTTCACCCTGATGCCGCTATTACCTAGCAGCAGGCTGTCTAACCTGGGAGTTAGACAGCTGCTATGGGCTGCTTCCTAGGGGTGTGTAACAAAAAGGAGGCCTGGTCAAGGATCGGGCCGCAGGGACACTAGGCCCCGAAATCATCTCAAGATAGGACATGTTGGACATCCCCCTCCCCCCCCCCCCCAAAACGTGAATAGCACAGAGAGCTAAACACCAAGAACTCAGCAGTAGAGCTACCCGAAGTGACCAGCCCCAAATTGCCAAGGACCGAAAGACCCAACCCCCCGTGTGAGAAAATGAACCATGGAGGGGGGGGGAGCAGTCCGAATGGAGCCGGAACATCGAGCCCCGAGGAAGCTGAATCCATTGCAGTGCCTGCCACACCACTGCAACTCTTTCACCGTGCCATGAGCCCAATATAAGGACAGCGACCCAAATTCCCTGGCCTGACTGGTGAGCACTGGTCACAAAACCACAATGAAGAGATGAAGCGTCCGTGAACAAATCAAGCAAGGGAAGAGGAAGGCACCATAGCACCGAACCCCAAAAAAAAACCAAGAGGAAACTGGTGACACAGCAACCGGTGTAAGGACACCTAGGAGCGAACCCTGCAATTGCAAGAGAGGAGCGAAAGAGGCTGCACAGAAGGTACCAGAACAGTCTACGAAGCTAAACCCTACCCATTGGAGAAAAACCAAAGCAAAGTTCAGGCTTCCGCACAGCTGCTCATGCAACCGTTGAGTGACCCGGGTTTCCCTCTAAAACAGCAGAAAGTAGGACTGCAATTGGAGCAAAGCCGCAGGAGGGAGAGAAATGGACGCAGTCCGAGAATCCCACTCGCGGTCCAGCCAAGTCTGAACCTGGGACTGAACCAACTGGAACTTCCGCCAAGTTACCAGGAACCCGAACACGGCAAGCTGAGAAAGAACCAGACCGGCAGGGCACCCGCACCAACCAGTCGACAAGGCGAGCTGCCAGCCACAAAGACACAGGAACATCGGAATGCACCCGATCAGTGGAAGAGAAACCGAACTCAAAACCAGAGGCAGATGCGTAAACCGGGTCTCGCAGAAGGTATGCACCAAGGGCCACCCAAACCTCCACAAGGGAAGTCGAGAGGAAGAAAACCACCGAAAAGACAAATCCATGGATCCCAAGGGCACCCGGAAAGGAACCTGGGGGAAAATCCTATGTACCGCATTTGCCGGCGGATACGACGCACAATGTGTATTAAAGTTTTTTTTATATATATAAGCAATTCTTCTCCCCCCCCCCCCAAATGGCCATAACACAGATGGGAACCTAGCGCCATAGCCTAGGGAGCCGGACGAGCATACAGGGCAAGGTCGCTAGGCATAAAATTAATAACATTGAGGAAATAAAAAAAACAAGCAAATGACCACAGTCTGTGAACATAAGTCTGAGGGAATACTATATAGAAGTACCACAGTCTTGTACGTAAGACAAGACTGCCCTGGGATCACAAGACCTGAAGACAAGACCACCACCCACAATTCCTCAAGAAAACAGACAAGGTTGAAAATAAAAAATGTGGATGAAGCTACACGGTTGGTACACCCATAATGGGACACAGGTGGAAGCTGAGTACCCAAGAGAACCAAGAGATATTAGAAAGAATTTGGCCAGTGGCAGAGTTGTAAGGAAATGGAATGAAGGAGGCAGTGATGTGGTGTAAGCTGACACCATACACAAGATCAAACTTAGAGAAGAAAGAGCTTGAAAAGCTCTGGAATGTGTACACCAGTAAAACGACGGACGAGAGGTGGACCCAAAGAGCCGAAGCATAATTCCCGTAAGCACAACTAGACAAGTTCAATGAGGCGAGTACAAACTTACCAAAACTACCGAAGACACATTGGCAGTGATGTGGGAAGCTCACACCAATTCATGTACCTCCCCACCTATTTCACAGCAGACATAACCCACATCTGAGAAATGTCATCCATAAGGGAACGACTAAGTTATCGGTAAGAACAATGGTTCATTAATGAAACTAAAAACACCCCAAAAATTGGAAAGGAACTATAAACTTTCAACCGCCTGGCAGCCATTTGCAAGAAGCTGGATGACAACAAACCACAGCTGTGGCATGGTGCATCATGACCGAGTGCGCCTCCCTGGCAACCAGTCGCCGCAACTCAATACTACAGTATCTACATACAGGAATACTCTTACCATAAATATAAACAACGAAACTGCAGAGCTGAGAAGAGGCAAGAGCATGGGTTCCAAAACCACATTAAAATAAAGTGCAATAAAGGATGGTGAAACATAAAAATAGTTCAATTTTTTTTCTTCTCTCTCATAACAAAACATTCAAGCAAAAGATGGATTCATCCGACATGAGGGTGCATAAATCACGCCAGCAAATACGGTAAGACGAATGCATAAAGGAAAAGAGGGGACAAACCCCCCGCCCTTCCCTGCAGCAACAACCCCTGCTCAAAGGACACAAGGGGCTCAAGCAGGGTCAAAAGGGAAAAAAGAGTTCCTGGTACCCTTCTGAGCCCAAAAGCTCAGAAAGGAACCAGGAACCCCTGACAAGGGTTCCGGGGCTGAGCCCTCATCCACGCCCCACCACCCATGATGAAAAGGTGAAATCCAGGGAAAAGGCTTCCAAGAAGGGAGTCTGCTGGGTCGACCCAGAAGCCCCGGCGGGAAAATGGGCTCAGCCACCTCCACGCCCGAATCGGAAGGGGCAGCCCCTGAAGAGACCCAAGTCTCATCCTGAGCTAACCCCATGACTCTGAAACCCCTCGGATGTTCGGGAGCCGGAAGCAGGGAGGGGAAATGAACTAGGGTGGTGGGCTGCCGGCTCCGGTGAGCTGGCTCCCCCTTGCCCCTTTGGGGGCGGGGGTTAATATTAACGAGTGGGAGTGCTAGTTGCAAGAAGGGTTGTTTGTTTGATTTCTTTCTAGGGGAGTTATTTTTCTCTTTTAAGACGTAGATTGTACAGGCTAACCAGACAGTGGTCTGTTTTGATTTGCCTACCTTTCTGTAGAGTATATAACTCTGTTGCTAGTGTTAAAAACTCTGCAACTTTTCACAAACAGGTGAAAATGGAGTTGCTGCTTCTCTTTCCCCGGGGTTGGATAAGGAGAAAGAAGATCTCTACAAGGTGAATGGCTTTAATGCTCGCCTCTCTGATGACATCGCTCTAAATCGTTCTCTCAAAGACATTCGCCATCCAAAGTAAGTGTATTATTGTATTTACTTTGCTTATATCTAGAGTACATCATATTTGCATATTGTACAGTACTTTTTATAATACTATACTAAAGCTATCCAGCTTTTGCTATTTTAGTACTGCTACGTACTCTTATGCCTTCAAAAACATATTTACTCTCAGTACATTATAGTTATCATGCGTGACCTATCAGAAGGTCTCCAGTATTCTCAATTATGCCTTTTTCAAGTACAGTACTGTATGTGAGAGTTAGTCCTTATCGTTACTTGCCTGGAGTAATCGGGGCAGACCACCTTAGGGATCCTATCTCTCATTATGATGAATTACCAGATGCCTACCCTAAGTAATGTGTGCAGACTATGGTATCTCAGAAAGGGCAGTCCTCATTAACATATCTCTGTGACATCTTGTTGTAAAGTACAGTACTGTACTCCTTTATACCTGTACTAGTTTTACATTTTCTTTACAAGATTTTGTTAACTTTCAGGTCATTTCAGGTATTGTGCTAAAAATATGGTGATTGCAAATGGAATCAAATGTTAATAATTCAGTTGGAACATTAATGCATATAATTACAGAATAAAGTACATTGTCTCTATTCTTCATGAATTTATGTATTTGATTCTTTCTCCTGATTACTGTTGCATCAACTTTTTGTATGCATCAAAAACACTTGCTGACTTGTCAGCTACACAAGCAAAATCCAGTAGTGTCACACTGTCCACTATATGATTCAGATGGTAGATCCCCTCACATCTTTATTCTCATCTTCGTTTATCTATACAGTACAGTACTTTGTCAAAAGTGAAGACAAAAATCTTGCTACCTTTGGCAAAGGTGGCAAGGATTTGCTGGACTGCCTTCATTTATATAAATACTTGTGCAGTTCTGTATATTGAATGCCAATCATGATGTAGCTTTTTATTAATGAATTTGAATTCTCCTGCCTGCAACTGGAATTGCCTTGTTTTCATCATCATGTCAGCCCAGTCAGCATACATACTTTTTTATTTGAATGGATTAAGTATGTCGGACTTTGATCCTAACCCTAAGAAATTTTACATTAATGTAAAATTTCATAGAATCTATGTTACCTGGTTACTAGATATTTTAATTAAACATACCAAAATTATATGTAGAACCTCTATTAACGATTTTAATCCGTTCTGGCACCGAGCTCGTTACCTGGAAAACTCGTCTTTGGAAACAAATTTCCCCATTTAAAATAAAGGAAATAAATTTAATCCGTTCCACTCCCAAAAACATCCATACTTGTATGACTTTTTTTTATGTAAATATAATACTGCACATGTAAATATAAATGTTTTGTTGTAGTGTTTTATTATTTACTTTACCTTATGAAGAGTAGTTGCTGGCTTGAGGGAGACGATGGAGAGGTGGGAAGGAGGAGAGGGGTTATGGTGTGGAAGGAGAATCCACCTCTGAGTCAGGCGAACTCTCTCTTCTTGGGAATTTCACTCAAATTTCATTTCAAATGTCACACAAGGATGCGTTAGACCAGCACCAAATAAAAAACTACGTTGATTACACTCGTTGTGTCAACAATATAATAGTCTTACCACGAAGATACAATACAATGCCGTTTTCTCAAATAGGCAATGTGGTTATTAAAGAAAACGGAAATTTCATGGCAAACATGTATACAATCCCCAAGTCGATCGGATAAGAATTGGATTTTATAGAAATATTTGCTCAAATGATGCTTGAGCACGGTGTTTGGGTGCATTCAAGAGAAAAAAAGTGTGTTACGTTCAAGCGACATATACCTGCAAAAGTGATAACACTTTCATAAAGTGTTATCACAAAGTGATAAATTAATTAAACATTTTCACACACTGGGTTGTCACTGCTTTATCAGGGCAGCTTTTCCAAGAATGCGTTCACCTTTTCAAACATTCCAAACACTTCCCTGATCTCAGTGGAAGAGGCAGCATCCTCCCTTACCTCCTCATTCCCTTACTAATGGTGTAAATTGTTGATGAGGACCTGCCATACTTCCTTGTGAGATCAATCACACAGACACCACACTCATGCTTTGCTATAATTTCCTTCTTGAAATCCATAATAATTGTGTCTTTCTTCCTCTTGAAAACACTATCTTTAGCAAGCAGCTTCTTTGGAGACATCGTGTGTTACAAATTGTAGTCGCAAAACCACTAAAAACCCAAAGAAAAGCTCAAATAAATCAAGAGGGATGCTTGTCGTGTGAGATACAACAACAACACTGGCGTCGGAGGCGTCCGAGAATTTGCGAGAACCCGCGAGACGCTAGGAAGCGCCATGTGGTTTCACTCGTTAATAGAGGCGAGCTCGTCAATAGAGACAAATTTGCTGCGAGTGGCTTGCTCGTTACTGGAAAAACTCGTTAATAGAGCCACTCGTTAATAGAGGTTCCACTGTATTGTCACATGATTATATAAAGTATTGGTTAATTGTATTTTCCTGAATTTACCTTAGGGCCACCATCTTTAATGGCCTCGACAGAGACAGGAAGCCAGTAGCCTGTCATAGGTCCACCATATTGTTCCTGAGGATTTTTTCTAGCTAAATTTTAACTAAAGTACTGTACTGTACTGTAATGTCTTGGCATTTATGCTTCAGTGAGAAGGCAGTTCCATGGGTTTATAACTCTTCAAGCAAAGAGGAATCTCCTGTTTTTTGTCTTACTTTGTGGCTTGTTGAGCTTGAATCCATTGCCCCTTGTATGCATTACATTCACTCTTTTAAAGAAGTGGTCCAGATAGGTTAAAGACATTAGAGTTTGCATGGTTCTGTAACAGTATGATACTTAATCCTTAGGTGCAAGACACAAGAGACTATAATCGCATTGTATTCCTACCTTTGTATTTAGACCCCCTGTTCAACTGGGCCCTTTGAAACAAGACTTCAGTGTACTATGCATACATGGATATGTATACATACAGTTATTCACAGATACATGCAGTACTAACATACATATGAAAGAGACAACAGAACATAAGCTAACAACAGAAGGGGGTATGATTGATCAAATTCATGTGGGGAAAGGCTAACCCCCTCGTATGACCACCATAATTTAAGATGGACTTCAATTATAGAAACCAACATAAAGGTCATAAATGGTGAATTTCAAGATTACCAGCAAGATGACTACTTATTAAGGGATGAGAAAATAACTGCAAGCCGTCTCCTGGCAGGAGCTGATAGGCAAAAATGGAATTGAAGCATCATGGCAAAATTTCAAGAGGGTCATCACGGAATTCATTAAAAAATATGTGCCAAAAAGAAGAAAACAAGAAAGGGAACTAGATGGATGAAACGTCATAAAACGAGCATTGGTAACCAAGAGGAACCTCTGGAGAACGTATAAATTTACGATGGACATCATTAATTATGAGTCATACAAAAGGGCACTAAACTCGGTCATTCAGAAAATCAGATCAGCCAGAAGAAGCTACGAAAGAAAACTTGCCCAAAACATGAAGAAAGATCCAAAATCGTTCTATGCCTATATAAGAGGTAAAACCAAAACAAAGGACTCAATTGGACCCTTAATAGATGAGACTAACCAAGCTATGATAATAGATATTGGATGATAAAAGGGCAGCAAACACTCTAAATAATTATTTTACATCATTTAAACACTCGAACACTCGAAAGATTGGATGACATCCCATCACCCACACGAATGTTTGAAGGAGGGGAGGAGAATGAATTTAGGGATATATCCATAACATGTGAAATAATTAGAACATTAACAAACTAAAAGACTCAAAAGCCACAGGTGTGGATGGGATCTAATTCAAAGTTTCAAAGGAACTTGCAGAAGAACTATGTCTGCTGCTGAAACTACTTTTCACAAGATCTCTGAACCAAGGGGTAGTCCCCCTAGATTGGAAATATTCAAAAGTCATCCCTATTTTAAAAAAAGACAGAAAGAGCTCAGCAGACAGCTACCAGCCAATCAGCTTGACATCACCCATCTGCAAGCTCATGAAGAGAATTCTCAGGGAGGGAATCATTCACCATCTTTCACTGAACAATCTTCTACAATTGACACAACATGGATTAATACATGGATTTATAATAATATTAATAATAATAATAATAATATTTATTTACAAAAAGGTACAATGGGTATGTGAGATTACATAAGATTGGTATTTTTACATTCTTGTAAAGCCACTAACATGCATAGCGTTTTGGCCAGTGTTCCGGGCCCTGATTTGTTAAAAACAGATCTTGCCTTACAAACTTGCTCATATTTTTGGTAGTGGTAACCAGCTATTCAGACAAAGGCCTTCCGGTGGATGTAGTATACATGGATTTTGCTGAAAGCTTTTGATAAAGTACAACATGAAAGACTCGCAAGGAAATTACAGGTCCATGGAATAAATGGTAAAAATATTAGAATGGATAAAACATTGATTGAAGGAAAGAAAACAAAGGGTCATGCTAATTGGAAACAAATCTGAATGGAGAAATGTGTTAAGCGCGGGGGCTACAAGGGTCCATTTTGGGACCTACCCTTTTTGTCATATACAGTACATCAATGACATAGATGAGAATATTACAAACCACATCATCAAATTTGCAAATGACACAAAGATTTATGGTAAAGTGGAAAATGATAATGATATTGAAGCCTTACAAAGAGATGTACATGAACTCCACAAATGGTCAGAAGACTGAAAAATGCTTTTTAATATCGACAAATGCAAAACCATGCATGTGGGGCGTAACAACCCACGCCACGACTACCAAATGAATAGCATTATATTACAGCAGATTGATGAAGAAAAGGACCTTGGAGTCAAAACCCACCACTCATTAAAAGTTGCACAACAGGTTGGTGCAGCAGTCAGAAAAGCTAACCAAACCCTTGAGATAATCAAGCATACTTTTTACTATAAGGAAAAGAAGGTTATGGTTCAACTGTATAAATCTCTTTTGCTGTATAAATAAATTTGGATTAATGTATCCATGCATGGAGACCTCATTTTCAGAAGAACATAGCTGCTCTGGAGAAAGTGCAACACCGGGCAACTAAAGTCATTCCAGAGCTAAGTCGTCTCTCGTATCAGGAACGCTTGAAAGCCACAGGGCTAACAACACTGTAAATCAGGCAGGACAGGGCTGATTTCATTGACACTTAAAATACTGAACAAGTTGGTGGATGTGGATCTGGATATTTCCTTCAGAAGGTCAGATGTAATGCAAACAAGGAGCAATGGTTTCAAGCTCAACAAGCCAATACGTAGGCCTGAAAATAGATGCTTTTTCACCCACAGGGTTATTAACCCATGGAACCGCCTGCCCGCCAAAGCCATAACTGCCAAAACTGTGTCGAGTTTTAAAATATACAGTACCTGGAAAATATCATCAAGGCAAATGGGGGGGGGGGGGACCTTTGACAAGCTGCCAGCTTCCTGTCTTCATTGAGGCCACTAGGGTTAGTGGCCCTCAGGTAAATCAGGTAAATATACAGAACAGTGCAGTACTGTATATATAACTGAAATATTTAAGTACAGTAATGTAAGACACCTGTTAAAATCAGTATCACCACCAGTCCATTTCTTTCACTGAGTGGAGAGGTTCTTGAAGTTAATGAAGAGAAGATAGAAAAGATGAGTTCCAAGCCCAGTCACTTCATATTTTATTGCAAGGGATGATGTATGGCTGTTTGTTTCACTGACTGGTTGGGCAGTGAGGCTGCCACATCCCTATTCTATGTAAGTCATTAATGTGATAATATAATGTGATAAGCAAGCAAGCAAGCATCTCAAGATATAAAAATATGAAAAATAGTTTTTATATAAACAATCTTGAATGTTTGTTTCTTTATTAATTTTGGTACATTTCCATAGGTGCAAAAAGAAACTGTACTTGGCAGAGCTTCCCACGGCAGCAGTGGTAGTGCCTTTCCACAATGAACACTGGTCCACTCTTCTTCGCACTGCATTCTCAGCCTACAACCGCTCTCCAAAGCACCTTCTAAAGGAAATCATTCTGGTTGATGATGCTAGCACAAAAGGTATACTGTACTTTTGCATGTGGAATTTAAAATGTTATTCATTGTATAAAAGCAAGGTACTGTATCTTAATTAATGCAGATCTGTATGTGATATACTGAAATCTAGTAATATATGTGAGAGGTGTTTTGCCAGTTGTTAATTATAATACTGTAATGATTCATGATGATAATGGTAAAGAGAGTATGGGTCCTGTAGCACCGTGGTCTATGTCCTCGGCTTATTAGGGTTCAATCCCAGGCAGGACAGAAATGGTTGGGCTTTTCCTTTCACCTGATGCCACAATTCACTTAGCAGTAAATAGGTACCCAGGAGTTACAGTTTATTGTTGGTTGCATCCTGGGGAAGGTAAGTATAAATGGACTACGGGGACTTTGATACTTTAAGTACAGGCTTCTTGTTCCCGACAACAGGAACACATATTTGAGTGAATTAAGAGTAGGAGGAGAGAGTGCAGCAAGAAGTAAATGGGTAGACATGATTGTAAGAGGAAATGGAAAATGAATGTGAATAGTACATGATAAGTAGTGGGAATATGTTTAGATGGGATCACTTAATAGGAAGCGAGTATTTGGCATCTTCAGTTGCATCTTATGAAAAGTGCTTTACACCTACAGAAGTCACATTTAGTGGAGGAGGCATTGTTGTTGTTGATTTGCTTCTGTGTGACAGTGGTGAGGCTGCTGTATAGTGTGAAGGATTAATTAAATGGTAAAGTGTCATACTGAGCAGCTTTACCCTTGATTTCCTATGCAGTAATAATAATAAATTAATGATAGTTTTATTTTTAGAATATACCCAAGAACATGCCACATTGGTTAATTAGAAGGTACTGAAATTGTATATTATATAAAACCACTAATATGCAATGTCCATAGTATTGCTTTTCTGTTTCCTGAATGTTAAAGCTTCCTCACTCCATGAAAGTGGGTAATGATATGGCAGAGGTCAGAGAGGTAATGGAAACAGTTTCAACTGTTTAAAGGAGAGCTAGGTTCATTATAATAGTAACCTGTAACACAGTGATTAGTGTAGTGGGCTCACAACCAATTTGTCCTGGGCTTGATTCCCAGACAGGGCAAGGTATTTTGGCATATGTCTGTTCACTTACAGTAGTAAAAAGATATAGCATTTTTTGGAATGGTTAGTCATTGGCTAGAGGTCCTTGACAAGCCTAGCAGGCCTAATCCCCGCCAACGGGAAATTAAAATATTGGTTTGTGCATAGATAAGTACCCTAAATGGCAGTGTAATTTTTTTTTATGAAATAAATTTTTTAGTGCACCATTGTCAGATAAGAAACCTCTTAGGCTCATTAAGGTCCCAGTAGGCAAGCAACTGACCTTTCCCAGGATGCAACCAATAACAGTTGCCTAACTCTCTGGTACCTATTTGCCGCTAGGTAAAGAGAGGCATTAGGTGTAACGAAACGTACCCAAACGAATCATTCCCAGAAACTTTTGGTTGTAAACTGACTGCACTGACCACTGTACTACTGGACCCCCAGTGATAATGAATTGCTAAATGATTTTCTACAGATTTCCTTGGGAAGAAACTGGACAAATATTTAGCTGAACACTTACCCATTGCTCGTGTGGTTCGCCTTCCTTCTCGTTGGGGTTTAATTCGTGCCAGATTGGAAGGAGCAAAACATGCAACAGCAGATGTACTCATTTTCCTTGATTCTCACACAGAGTGTACAACTAACTGGCTACCTCCATTATTAGGTATGTTATCTAACATCTATTTCTTGAATATTTTAATTAGTGATTCTGTAAGTTTATTTCTTAACATTTCTTTATGCCTTATTTCATAAGGCATAATGAAGTACTTGAATTTATTTATTATTATTTATACAAGTACTGAAAACTTACTCATTATTGCAATGTTGCAGTATTAAATATATTTTCTGAGGGGAGCCCCATCGGCTTCCCGAAGCTATCAAACTGACATGTGCCATATTAGTTTGGTGCCATCAGTCCCTGGAGTTCTATGTCTACCGGGGGCCACGAGCCAGAACCTGGCCTCCCCTCAGAGAGGCGCAAGGAGCAATGGCCATATGAACACACTACATCTAGAGTTTGTCATGTCTGCCATTGACCGAGGAAGGCACCCAGGTAGATAGAGGAACCAATACAAACGTGTAACTGGTTAAAATTGCAACCGATGTACAAACCGAGTCAAAGAACTCGCCTCAAGAGAAAATAAGGAGAGGGAGCCCACTCAGACGAGCCGGCCGCACCACCCCCAGGTCGTTGATGTGCCAATATTCTGAAGCCCTCTATGGCCTCATTTTATTGTCTGGCTTTGGCATTTGTGGCTTTTCCAGCAGTGTTGAGTGGTGGTGGCCAGGTGTTCTTTAACACTTTGCCTGGGTAGGAACACATATTGCGTCTCTAAATAAATCTACAGATCTTGGGTGGGGCCGCAAGTTGCTTCCAAAATTTAAATATTTGTTAAAATTCCATTTTTCCAATCAATATTGGGACCTGTTTTAAAATGTGTGCAAACGTTTTTCTATTTTCTATGATGCCCCATGTTGCATCCCAGCACCGCCTCCCACATGGTAGGCCCATTGTTATCGTGACCACGCTCATGGCTGCTGTGGCCTCGTCTCGCGTCCAAACGTGTGCCCGTTCTGGCTATTTTTCCTCAGCTATATTTGTTACTGCCTTTATAAACACTACATTTACTCCAAGATGGATAGTGATCAAGAACAGAATCATTCCATGACATAAGCAGGGAAAGAAACACGTCTGAGGAAAAAGCTAAGTAGTGTTCGCCAAAAGTACAGCAAATTGAAATTCACACCAACAAAATTAACCCTTTAACTGCGCGGCCTATAAATATGACCCCCCCCCCCCCCAGTGCGCAGGAAATAAATTCTCTTGAAAAAATTCTTTTGTTTTTTTAAAGTGTCAAAAACCCTTCCCTCAGTATGGGTATGTCAAAAAAATTTTGAACTTGTACTGTACTTACTTTGGCTGCTATGGGGTCCGTAAGTTGGCGTGTGACGTCATCATTCCCTGTTCGCCCGTGACGTACGCTCCCGGGGCCAGTAGGGCGCCTGGGGCGGGGCGCGCCAGTTGCCGCGAATATATTTTTGTTCATTTTTTGCGCGCAGTTCCAAATACATTTTATTTGTTTTTACATGCTAATCCTGTGTAGAATGAACACGTACACTATATTATGGCAGTAAAACATCTGTACTGTCTGAGGACACTGTTATGTGCATGACACTTGTGTACACATATGCTGCACATATTTACCATGTATCACACTAATTTATGCATATATACAATCTATTTACAGACTATACACTGTCACACACTATATACATTCATGATCAACACGCTCAGAACACCGCGAGTGTGAGCTGTCACACCCAGCCAGCCCTCCCCCACTCCTCCAACATTGTATTCGCCAACATTGCCCCTCCCATCATACAGTTATTCACACCAATGTTTCATGTTCATTTATGTATATTTACAACATATGTACACACTATATACATTCACGATCAACACACTTAGAACATCGCGAGTGTGAGCAGCCACACCCAGCCAGCCAGCCAGCCCTCCCTCACTCCAACATCTTACTCGCCAACATTCCTCCTCCCACCATACTGTTATTGTTTTTATTCCACTATTTACACATGTCATATATACCTATCTACATGTTTTATTTACCAGAACTATGCAAGTAAGCCGGTATAGTGTCCAAACAGTACAATGGCCACCATATACTGCATGGGAACTCACACAGCAGACAGCAGACGATGCTACGATAACGACGTCACCTCCCTCACCAAAATAGCTCCTCTCAACATACTCCTGATGCTGTTATTACACTATACACACACACTGTATATACCCATGTACATGTGTGTTCCCCATAGCGAACCACGAAGCTAGTGTGGTGAGCAAAACAAGAGTGGCTGCCACACAGTGAGGGTACCTCAATTCTCTCCCTCCCTCCCTTACCAAAATTCCTCCTTCCACAATACTACGCTCAACGCTAATTATAACCACAATCCTGGTCACTAATTCCTGTAAATGAATAATTGACCACAAGTTTATTTTAAAAAGGAACCTAAAAAGTTGTTTGAAGATTCCTAGATGGACGAAATAATGCTGTGGTGCTGTGGCTAGCGCTGTGAACATCGTGAACAGCATTGAATCACTGATATTTGAACATTGTACCCAGTCATTATCACACTCAGGCTCTTCTATAATACTATCATGGCTAAATAATACAAGATATATATATATTATGACATTATTAGGCGATGCTGTGGTCACACTCTGAACAGCAGTGCTGGCGCTCATACTGCGACCGCCAGCCTTGGTTGCTCACTCACTGCTGAGGCTCCCACACCCGGGAATGTGGACCACGATTTTTTTAAAGATGGTGTCTGTTTACAAGAGCCCTGAGGAAGCTGATATGAACCCCATGTAGCCGCGGGAGTTTTGAATGGAATGTGAAAAATACAAATACCCGGAGGCACGTTGCGCACCTGAAGCCTGGGCCTGCAGGCGCGTTGCGCAGTTAAAGGGTTAAAGGCTATAGGTGACGAATTTTCCGATCTTGATCTTGAAAGTGCCGAAAGTGACCGTGATGTAGATAGAGAGGTGATTGAAGTTGAAAAAGCAAGTGAGGATGAAATTGAAAGTGACGGGAGTGGTGGTGGTGATGTTGATACCACCACACGTGCAGGCCCTGCTATTTGAACTCATACCACACATACCGCTCTTACTCCACGTGCCTTTATATGCATATATCTCTTCAGAGCATTCTATTACAAACAATTTGATACCAAAATGAACGACGTAACACGAAAATTGAGGTGATAAAGTTGAAAAGAGTATAAACATTTGAGTGTGGGTGTGCAGATGGGTGCTCGCTCATGGGTAATGCTCACCCGATTTTTGGGTTTGCTGCAAGCGGCACCAGGCTTTTTGACCTTATATGCCTATATCCCTTTCGAGAATTCTATTTCGAACAATTTATACCAAAATTAACAAGGTACTGTATCACAAAAACTGAAAAGAGTACAGTATACGCATTTTAGTACGGGTTCTTGCCCATGGGTAATGCTCGGCCGATTTTCAGGTTCGTTGCGGGTGACAAGCTGGGCTTTTTTTACCTCAAATGCATATACAATGGAGCCTCGATTAACGAATTTAATCCGTTCCGGTACCGAGCTCGTCGTGTGCCGGAACACGAATTTCCCCATTTAAAATAATGGAAATAAAATTAATCCGTTCCACCCACCCACCCCCAAAATATCAATATGACATTTTATAATGTAAATATAATAGTGTACATGTAATTATTATAAATGTTTTGTTTTATTGTTTTCAACTGTACTTTACCTTATGAAGAGTTGTTTCTGGCTTGAGGGAGACGATGGGGAAGTGGGAGGGAGGAGAGGGGTTACTGTGTGGAAGGAGAATCCACCTCTGAGTCAGGCGTGCTCTCTCTTCTTGGGAATTTCACCCCACTGGAACCGGGT